TTTTTCTGAATATGGTTTTTCTTTTTATTTATATGAATATATGCAGGTGGGTTTATTGAATGTAGATGGATATTACAATTCATTGTTGTCTTTCATAGACAAGGCTGTGGATGAAGGTTTCATTAGACCTTCTGCCCGTCACATCATTTTATCTGCCCCAACTGCCCATGAACTCATGAACAAGCTCGAGGTACAACACGCTTTGATTAAATTGATTTGGAATTCTTAAAAAATAAATTATTTCTAATTTAATTATCAGATTTATTTATTTTTTCTTTAAATAAATTTAAAAGATCATATGTCTTATGACTGTAGGATTATGTTCCTGAACAAGATGAGGCTGCATTAAAGCTAAGTTGGGAGATGGAGCAACAATATGGATATACCACAAGATCTTCAGGCATTGCCCGTTGACTTTCAACGTCAAAGTCAAAGGCTTCCTAAAGTTTTTTTCATAAGCTAAAGTAAATAGATGAAGTTTATTATCACTTAGACACAATTGGGACAAGATAGAGGCCAATATCGTTAAGCCTTAGATGATTGATATATTAGTTTTAGTTCAGCAGTCGCCTTTTTTTTTCCAAGTTATTATTGTGGATTTTAATAGTATTACTATTTTTGCCTACTGTTTGAGATTGATTTTTCCCATTTTTAGGGCTAACTTGGATTTTGCATTTGATTTTTTCTGCAAGGCAAGGTTTGTTTATAGTGCTTGTTTTATTATATTTTCCATTACTACTTGTCGTAGTCTTGTTGATGAAACCTACCTCAACATCAACATCATGTATATTATGACATGTTTTGCAAGTGTATTTACTAAGAACTCTATACTATTTGCGTTTTAGTTTGTGTATTTTAATTTTTAAATGTTCATCATCAACATTTTTTCTGGTGTGCACATACAATTGTGTTTGTGTATACCAAGTGTATATCCATTTAGATATACGCACATGGCCGTCTCCAGAAATTTGGAGGCCCCAGACAATTTTATTTTTTTTTCGAAGTTCCCAATTTGAATTTGTGTGGTAAGCAGAAAAGAAAAAAACAACTAATTCAACAAGACAAGCTAAATAAATAAATAATTTTTCTTGTTTTTCATCAATCCTGAAATATATTTTGGAAATTATAAATTATCTTACAGAGATATTTAATAAATTACATTGAAGCAGTCACGAGGACATTAAGATAAAAAATAAAAAATAATATCATTGAAACTAATTATTCTAATAAAAATTGTTCATACCAAACATCATAAGAAAACAATTGAAATATTTAGGTTTTCAAGTTCCACAAACGAATTACATATTTAACCATTAGCCTTTTTATTAATTAGTTTCTTCATTTGTGTAGTGGACCAAGTCCATATTTAGTCATTAGCCCTTAACCTTTTATTAATTAGCATCTTTATTCGTGTAATGGGCTAAGTCATTATTTAGTCATTACTCATTCATTAATTAGGCCACTTCATTTATTTAAATGGATCAAACCGTATTAACCAACAAAAAAAAAATGTGACCCCAAATAAATTGAGGCCCTAGGCAAGAGCCTCTCTGCCTCCCCTGGAGCCGCCACTGTATGCGCACCATCTTGTAACTAACCGTCTTACATAAATCATTTATGATTATCATATAAGAGATGGAGAAAAAAAATTATAAGAATTATAAGATCGTAACTAAGAATTAGAATCCAGAAACAGTAAATTACAGAAAAATTCTTGAATAATTTTGTAGTCTATTTAATTATATACTGCTGAAAGAAACATTTACCAATACTAGACACTTAATTTGAAATAGGTCTATAAAAACAACAAACATTGCTCACGCAGAAGCTTAACAATGAACTAACAACTAATACAATAGTAAATACAATATTTGTAAAGAAATAAATAACTCAAAAGAAAATAGATTATATCTCAAATTTATTCAATTAAGTGGGAAAAGATTAATTCCTTTTTGAAACAGCAACTTCCACTTTAAATCATTAAATATCAAATTAAATCGTTCAAATGGGACGTTGACTTTGTACAATACAGTGCACGCACTTTTGATGGAGTTGATAATGATATGTAAGATTTAAGTCGCCTTAATCTGAATGAACTTTTAATTTCAAATAGGACCATTCAACTAATCGAGTTATCCCCAAAAAAAAGGAAATGGCAAACAAGACAAAACAAAAGAAAAAAGAACGCCCCCCACTTATTTCCAAGTGCTGTCTATCGCTGTACGCTTGCTAACAACCATAAAAAGGAGGCACAAGAAAGTTGAATAGCAACTTCTCAAAAAAAATTATAAAGTTGCACAAGAAAGTGCAATTTTTCGCAAATTCACGTGCTCAACATGACTCACTAGATAATCCAAAAGTTGAATTTGCAAATGGGCCTCGGACACGTATAAGGTGATAATGGGCATCTCTGAAACTCAAAAGCAAAGCACAGGCCCATTAGGTGCAAGAAACAATGACAATTGTGAGGTGGAAAGTAAAACTCGTGGATGTCGTGCACATGCATGGTCTTATAGTTATTGGTCTCTCCGCAGCAAGTACAATGGATAAGATAAGAACATATAATAGTGTTAGTCGCTAGTGCGCTTTATGACCTATCCATTCAGTAGGAAGTACGAAGAACCATTAATGGGATTAATAGTTACATAAATGAACGTGAAAATCATGTATTCATCCAACTTTTCCATTTTCCATCCACACGTAATCTGGACATTGATTGCAAACAACATATCCATAAAACTTGACTAAATGGAACAAAAATTCTTTGAAATGGAACAAAAATCAAGGGGATGATTGTAATTTTGAAAGATGGCTGAAGGAATCAAAAGACCCAACCTTTTTGGAACTTGATGCTATATTATTCTAGTCGGCGTAACAAAAAGAGCATCATCAAATAATCAAAAAGGTATCAAAATTCAAAAGTGCTTCAAAACACACGGCTCATGCATGCAGTAGAATATTACATCAGTTTAGAACATAACTACAAAATTTACAGCCACAACAGAATTTACACATACGATAAGGTAAATGCCACGCATAACCAGAACAAAGCACGGCTAGTAATAAGTAGGTAAAAAACGAGGGGCGAAAAGGGAAAGGGTACGTTTTTTCCTTATGCGAAAGATTGAACCACAGACGAAGTGGTGACTAATCCCGAGAGAAGACCGATAATGACTGCACTGTTGTACGTGCTCGGTTCTGTCTGCATCGAGTTGTTTCTCGAGTCAATAAACGACTCGTTTAGAAAGGGCCCACCAACGAGAGCCCCCATAGCAATGTTCGGGTTCGGGCTGTTTGAGTCGAGCCATCTGAACCCGTTTTTGCAGCCTGTGGTTGCATCACTCGGGATTGAGGCACCTCTGTGGTGGACAAACTTCGAGTACTTGTCTCCATAACCCACGAGATAACTCATCTTCATTGGGTTCTCACCCAACACATAATCAGCCTAAAAATAACGAATGCAGGGCGACAATTTTATGAAAAAAATAATTATTAAATATTAGTAGTGAAATTAAAACCTTTTTATATACTTTTTCATATTCTTTTCACTTTGTTTTTTAAAAATTTTCTCTTCTTTCTTGGATATGTAAAATGTTATTTCGTGGGACACAGTTATATTGTTACCAATAGTCATTTGAAGAGTCAATTCCAATAAACTCATTTAAGACGAGTTTCAATTTATCGTTATTTAGTTTTCTTGGATATCAAAACTAATAATTTTTTTTACTTTCCCAATTAAAGAATATAAATTTTAATTGAATATTATATAATCCAGTGAATTTAAGATATATATTTAAGCAAAGGAAAAGTTTAGAATTTTTACGTTTATTTTTTTTTTTAAGAAAGAAAATATTTCCTCCATCCTTTTCATTTGTTATTCTTAAAATATAAAATTTAGCTATAATTATATTTTAAATTTCAAAACTTTTATTATAGCTAGTAATATTATGCTTTTTTTATGAATATTTTTGTTAAAAAAAAAAAATCAAATAGAACATTTAGCACATTTTGCCAGGGCCTCATGATCATGAAGTTCAGGAGTGATGCAGAAAAAGGTCAGACCAGGCAGAAAACCCTGATGAAACTTGAGCCCGAGCCCGAACTCGTTCAAAAATTGGGCTAACTTGCTAATTATAATGGGAGGTTTTTTGGATAATGTTGAAATCTCTCAGGGTGTTTTGTGCTTAATGTTGAGTTAAGGGGCAGTTCCTCCAAAGAAAGGACAAGTGATGGGTATTTTAGCAAGTGTACCTGTGAGATTGCAAACTTGCGGAGATCTGAGGGCCTGAAGTTTCTCCCACTGCAAGATAGCCTTGACGTTCGAGACGAGAGCATGTAATCACTGTAGACAACTGCTAAAAACGCTGATGCCACGGGATGCTGTAAAGCGTTCCATTGGCTCACCCATACTAAACCATCTGCATATATTTGTGACTTGAATTTTTCAGCAAATTGTATGGATTGAGTTATATTGAGAATCTTCATAACAATCAATGAACTTCACGTCATAAGCTGCACCCTTATGTAAATCTGACAATCTTACAGCTCGATGGAGTTCCATACATTGAGCTATTTATGACTTCTTGTTTCTATTCTGAAAATAATCTCGTATAAATATTTGAGGCTCAACTTTTTTTCCTTAATGTGCTGAAGTTCTTGTAGGCTAGCAAATGCAGCATGAAAAATTTACAAGGACATATGATTGTAGTAGAAGCATAAGATTCAGAGTAAATAAGAAGGCAAATTACTATCAGTTCTGCTGGAGGTGGCAGTTGGTGATTTGGGTAAAAGGCCACACATGACAGCCTCTGCTGACTCCCTATACTTCCTGAGGAGATTTGAATTTGATACATCTTTTGCCCCGAAAAAGCTGACCCTGGACAGCAGAACCTGCAGCATATAAATACACTTCATGAACTTTCTGGTTAACAACATCCATTATCAGAATGCATATTCACTAGATTAAAAATTTAAAATTATTAAGGTGCAAATGGAGAAGTCCTAGTTAACAACATCCATTATCTCTTGGTAAATAATGTTTTCTGGTGGAGTAAGTGAAATTTTGGCTGGTGAATAAGTTTTTGCATTATATCTCATAAAAGCACTAAGCTTCAACTGAAAGTATATAATTCCAACAAAAAAACATCTTGCTGAAACAAAACCAGATAAAAGTTAAAACATTCTAACATCATAGACTCATAGTTACTGAACACGAGAATCTAAACGGACTGAAAATCCGACACCAATTATCCTTGAAACAATAAAACTTACCTGAGTTCCAGCCAGCTTGTTATCCCAGCTAAACCAAGTTGGGTTCCCAAAATTACCGAAATCCTCTCCATTCTGACCAGTTACGTACTCGAAATACGATCTCTCCCCAGTCGCGTGGTACAGCCAGCTGGCAGCCCACAACAGCTCATCCCCATACCCAGTTGAGTTATAGAAAGTCTGCACTTCCGGAATACTGTTGCTGTACAAAGCCCTGTATTTGTCCGCAAATGTAAATAGTTGTTTCGCGTGCTTCAGGAGCGAACTTGAGTAGGCAGAGTTTGTGGTCTTGAAGACAAGAGAAGCCGATGCTAGAGCAGCTGCTGTCTCTGCAGCAACATCAGATCCTGGGGCGGAAGTGTTGACCTGTGTAAGAGGCCTTTCTTCGGTCATGTCTTCAGGCCTTTCCCAACATCCGTGGTCGAGTTCTGGGCTGCCTACCTGAGGGAAAACAATAGACATTGGAGAACGACCACTAGTTAGGTATAATTTTATGGGATAATAGTTACAATGATTAAAGAATTGCATTCAGTTTTGATCAGATTACGAACACATACTCAACAAATTTGAAAATTACAGAAACTACCACCAAGTTGTACATTGCCTTACATCTTTACACCTGTTGTTGTTGGAGCTAATGGAAGTCGGTAATGTTGGATGATATTTTTACAGTAATACCCCCCAGCTTTTGTATATGTTACATAAATGTTCGAATATTCATCAGGTGTTCTACATTGATATATTCTAAATATTGCGAATAGCAAGATCGAAATATGGGGGCTACAAGTGTACGAATGCATGATGGCAGCAAATTGTGAGTAAAAATCTATTGCTTCCCCATTAGATAGGTTTTTGAGTCACCTGTGCTCTGGGAGGAAGGAAGCTAGGCTCAACTAATGGTTACCATAAAATGTAAACAAAATCGGACCATCAGGAGTATTTTTTATTTTATTTATTTATTTATTTTTTGTTCACTTTTTTTTTGCGGTTTGTAAGTTGGTCCAAGTCCAACCCAATGTTCTAAAAAAAGCTAGGCGCATTCTAGGCGGCATGCTGGAGCCTAGCGCTGTCTGTTAGATGAGGTAGGCAGGGTCGTAAATATATTAATAAATATTTTTGTATTTATCATCATACATAAGTCACATTATATAAAATATAGTCATTAATACAGTTAAAAAGAAAGATTTTCAAAAATATAATATATTAGTAACTATTTTATTAATTTTAACATGATTATTATTTTTATAATTTTATAATTATTGTATATTCAGTATATTAAAATAAAAACTTATTTCTTATTATATTTTGAAAATAGTTAAAGAAAAAAAAATATACGGGCGCCTAAGCAATGCCTAGGTCTATACGTGGCTATCTTTACAACCGTCTAGACCGACTAGGCACTGCCTAGCCCACCTAGATGACGCCTAATTACACGAGTGTCTAAGACAAAAATTTGGGCACCAGAGTGCTGCCTAGACAGACGCGAAGCCCGATTTTTAGAACACTGGTCCAACTTCAATGGCAGTTTTGGTAAAAAGAGTTCTGCAAATACCACGTCATTTCACTTCTTTTTCTTTGGAAGGTGGTGATATAAATAAAGATCTTGATACAAGCTGGTGAAACTAGTCATTCCACATAATAACTCATACAACAGAAATAAGAATTTCATGCTGACACTACTTGGAGAAGTGTTACAGTCATCCCACATTTAAGTGTCTCCAAATATGACCTGGTACAAGAGAGTTCTAAAATATTTATGGCAATCCCATTTTAAGATGTGCTCATAGGAGGAAAAGTATGGTTTCCTAACTTATGATGTAGTACCAAAAAATAAAGGAACAAATATGCACTTTCTAAAAATAGAAAAGA